GACAAAAAATCCATCATCCATGCTGAGCCTGATTCCACAGGCCTTAGGGCCAAAACTTTTTCTTTACTCAGCAAGCTTACATGCAAGGGGATAACTTTCATGGAGATCCCAAAGAGCTTAGCAGCTTCCTTATAGCAGCATCCCACAACCATGTACTTCTCATGCACTTCTCATGCTAGCAACACTCTTGCTAATATGAATGAGATATGCCTGATAAGTGAAGTGCAATTTTCTGCATGCTGAAATATACAAGTTTTGCATTTTCTTCAAAGCTCCTACCTTAAAAAACACAGATCTCCCTTTACCTGGCTAGAATGCCAAGGTACCACTTCTTTTTATATGCCCCTCCCCCAAACACACATCACTTTTTTTTACATCAGTACTTTCAAACCAGGTGTCAGCCAGCTAAAATGTCCTTATTCCAGCTGTCTCTAAGAACTGCTGGGTTAAGGTTTGGAACGAGCCAGTTCAGCCCCGTTCTCTCTCCATTCATCATCATAGGGACACCCTGCCCCCACCCACCACCTGAGAGTATAATTTAAAAGAAAAAGGGAAAAAAAAAAAAAAAAAACTCTCTAGAACAAAAGCAGCTCCTCTGGCAGGCATTCATAATTCCAGGGCACAGCGGGGCTCCAATGTTCATCCCAGCTAGCAGAAGCCCATGTTACATAAATCATGTTCCTGCCACTTCATGGCACTTCAGGAAATTACTGTCCAGTATTCACCTGGCCAAAATTTGCTCAGAGAATTATCAAAAGCCATCTCATTTATGCTGATAATATCAGCAACAATGGAATGGAATCCACAGCCTTGAGTAACTGACCTTCTTATCAGGCTACCCAGTGGACGACCATGGGCAAGTGGCCTTTTTGTGGCAGCTTCACCAGTTAAGAAACAAATGAAACCTGTCCCCAACTGACCTCAAAAGCTTTAAAAGTCAGAATGTGAATATACCCCACTTTGAATTCTTAACAAAATCCTGTAGGAACTCAATCCAAGATGCTCACTAGGTACCTACCAAGTCAAAGGTATCCTGTTAGGTGTGACAAAGGCTCTTAGATCAGAAGGAACCCATCACAATTTAAGGCAGATAGCTAAATACATCAGTATAGTTAAGGAGAACATGAGCTACGTACCAAGAAGTGGAAAAATAATGATGACAAAACCACAGCAGCACATGCCAAACACTGTTCTAAGGGCATTATGTATACTAACTTGTATCACTAAGACCCTAAGAACCAGGGATTTTTTTTTTTTTTTCTTTTTTAAGTCTTGCTCTGTCGCCAGGCTGGAGTACAGTGGCACAATCTCGGATCAAAAGCAACCTCCACTCACTGCAACCTCCGCCTCCCGGGTTCAGGCGATTCTGTTGCCTCAGCCTCCAGAGTATTTGGGACTATAGGCGCACACTACCATACCCAGCTAATTTTTGTATTTTTAGTAGAGACCGTGTTTCACCATGTTGGCCAGGATGGTCTCGATCTCTTGACCTCATGATCCGTCCTCTTCGGCCTCCCAAAGTGCTGGGATTACAGGCATGAGCCACCATGCCCTGCCTGAAGTAGGGATTATTTTCTTCACTTTACAGATGTGGAAATAAAGATACTTTGCCTAGAAAAGCAAGTTATCTTCCCAAGATCAAATAGCCTCTAAGTGACTGACAGGATAAAAACCCACAGTCTCCACCCGGTCTACCTGAAATCTAATGGAAGAGATGATATGGCCAGGTGAGAGTAGTCAGGAAAGATCTACTGAGATGGAGGCATTTCAAATGGACCTATAAGGATGAGAAGATATTATTACTACAGTAGATATTATTACTTCTTACTAAGGATGCTTTGTGTGCCTGTTCTTACAAGTTCAGTCACTTATAACAGATGTAATTATATACACATCAGCCCAGGTTTCTCTACCCACAGCATGCATTTGAGAGGAAACTGAGATCCCAAGATCTAAAAGGATTCTACCCAATCATCCTCAACATATCACTGAGTGACAGTATCCCCCAGATCCCCAAGCATCTTCCTCCAGGCTTTTCAGCACAGCAGAGGCATCACCCTAATGTACTATTCAACTGTGCTGAGGCAATTAAAGCATCATGAAGAAGGCTCACTCTAAATATTTTTAAACCACCTTATTAAAAGGTGTGATGCAAGTATGAGGTGGCATTATTATTTTTAAGTTCATTCTCTGCAGTCACTCATTTAGAGGTGTGAAAATAAAACCTGTGTTTCATGTCTCACTTCCTATATTCCCACTCGATTAACAGGCTTGTATCCCCAAGATAGACGATGCAGGTGTATGGTGGAATGGGCTCTATATTATGATTTCACACAAACACAAAAGCATTTCTTACACAGTGATGGGTGTTTCTGAGAAGCATGTAAGAACATGCAATTCTCCTTACCTGCAATCAACCAGCTCATATGACACACAAGAAACTCAAAGACTTCATGTAGGTATGTAATTCCTGAGTAAGAGAATATTTCTTTGTTGTTGCTTTACTACATTTTTTTTTAATGGCATGACCATGTAGTAGAAATATAAACTTTTTAGAAACAATTATTTTCTTCCTCAGTATAAAAACTGATTGTTTGAATTAATATGCAAACACTGGTCACCATGTTGAACTAGGAAGAAGCTCAACTAGATCAAAGACAAGTAGGCTGGCTGGGCACAATGGCTAGCACCTATAATCCCAGCACTTCGGGAGGCCGAGGTGGGCAGAACGCTTGAGCTCAGGGGTTTGAGAGCAGCTTGGGCAACAAAGTAAAAGCCCATCTCTATCAAAAACACAAAAAATTAGTCAGGCATGGTGGTGCACACCTGTGGTCCCAGCTACCTGGGAGGCTGAGATGGAAGGATCACTCGAGCCAGGGAGGCAGAGGTTGCAATGAGCTGAGATAGTGTCACTGCACTCCAGCCTGGGTAATAGGGTGATGCCCTGTTTAAAAAAAAGAAAAGAAAAAGAAAAAAGGCAACTGGGCTAAAATGTTTACGAAAATAAGAATTGTAAGTGAAACAAATTGGGAAAAACGCTATGAATAGTTATATATGGCCCAATGTCATTATTTTACAGGTAGTTAAACTCAAGCCTAGAGAAATGCAGCAAATCAGGACAGGAACTGCAACTTGAATCCCAGTCTCTTCTCTCAACCCGGGCCAGTGTGCCGAACAGCCACAACAGGTGAAGCTTGGGTCCTCTCAAATAGTGAACATTGTAATTTATAGTCCACTATGATATAAATTCCATAAGGCTAAGAATTTTGTTTTTCTCATATACCACTATAATCCCAGGACCAGGAACAGGGGCTGGCATATAGTAGGTACTCAATAAATGTACTAAATGAATAAAAAACAACATGCATCATTTTATAAAATGCATCCGAAATCTTTATCAAGATAATCTCTACTGCACAGAGTTTGTAAAGATCCTGTGGGAGGTAGCAAGACAAGAGTAGAGGTAATCCTGAAATACTGGTATTTGCCAGGGAAAAATTTAACCTACAACTCCTAGTTCTCATTCCAGTTATTAGCTTACCCAGCCAAATTCCCAACCGTGAGAGCAAGGGGATTTTCTGAAGTTAATTCAGGGCTTAAAGCTTTTCCTTAATATTCAGGGGAGCACAATATTCCTTAACCTCCTATTTTATTTCAAATCCATGTCCTGTCACATTTTCTGTAAACAATTATACCTTCCCCTCAGTCCTTGACCCTGCACCCTACTAGATCAAGGAAATACACACAAATCACACAGAAAGACAATCTCACAAAATGGCTAACAGGACTGAACTATTTAACAGTAACACCTCAGGAAAGGCATTCTAAGTCACTAGATCAATAAACAATGAAAAACAACAGACATCAGTGTCCCCCACAGCCAGTCACTACCTTAATAACAAGCTGTATGTTTCAATTCCAATCACAGCCATAGCAGCCAGGCCAGACATCACCTGACAAAGTTAGTGGATGTTACATTTATATAGCAACACATCACCAGGCGATGGCAAACAGAATCCCAGAGGATTCCCTTTAGCCAGCTAATCCAGGTTAAAGACCAGATCTGAGGCAGTCTCTATTAGACTAGGGCAGTAAATCGCCAGTCCAGCAGCATTTCCAGGCAGCTGAAGCATGCATTTATTAGACTTGCAAGTTATAGGGTTTTTTTTTTTTTTTTGGTCTGCAGACCCCAAGCTAGTAGAGGGGAAAGAAGAAGGCAACTCTCAGCATCATATCAGTGGTTGGCCAAGAATGAGTAAGAAGTTAGCAGAACATAAGAAAAACTTACCTGTCATCAAATCTATTTGCAGCCATCTCCTCTGATAAGTGCCTTATATATTAAGTCAAACATTTACAACTAGAGATTTGAAATTGAGTTTTTTGAATCTCAAAACCTACTTTCCTACTGATATAAGGATTATGTGGGGAGATGCTTTACTGTCATTTGTAATTATTTTGAATGGGCAGCAGCTCTTTATATGTAGGATTTAGGTTTCTCTGCCCTCAATTCAGTCTCTCTAGAAAGAAGTGATCCGTAAATAAACAGGTTAAATATATTAAAGAAGCCCTTCTCTGTGGTCTGGAATTATGGTTTCCCTTTTCTTATTATAAAGCGAATCTTCATTTTAAAAAATCATCTACAATAAGAGGCCACGTATGGTGGCTCACACTTGCAATCCTAGCACTTTGGAAGGCCAAGATGGGAAGATCGCTTGAGACCAAGAATTCGAGATCAGCCTGGTCAACATGGAAAACCCCATCTCTATTTTAAAAAAAATTTTTTTTAATTGTCTCCAATTAAACTCTGTAAGTCTTGGTGTTAGTGCAACTGAGTATCTTACAGAAAATGATGCTTTTTGTTTGTTTGTTTTTTGGCCAGGTCTTTGTTGCTTGAGTTCATACTATACAATGAAAGAAAATTAGCAAGTTCATGAAAAAAAGTGGTTTTTCATTTCAGTTTACTATTAAGATAAACTTTCTTCTTTCATTTGTTAGGCAAGAAAAAACACAAAATGCAAGAATGCAACCAGAAATTAAAGCCTCTATTCGTATGGGATCTTCCTGAGGACAGAATGGCTAAACTGAATCCTTTATGGCCATAAGTTGAAGGCATGAAGAGTAAGGAGTCAGGTTCAGCCTCTAGGTTTGCCCATCTTTAAAATGAGTCCTTTACATGGGGTGGGGCTAGAATAAGAGTATATACTAGCATCACAAAAAGAAGACCATCACTCAAAAGAACACTTGTTCACAGGCACCAAGGAGATCTGACTCTCCAATGCACAACATGGAATAGTCAAGGGTAATGTCCGGTTGTTTGAGGCCCTAGAAAGGCATTTTTCTCAATTGTCTCATGAAGTACAGGTTGTATAACCCTAATCCGAAAATCTGAAATCTGAAATGCTCCAAAATCTGAAACTTTTATGATGCCACAAATGAAAAACTCTACACCTGGACTCACAGAAGCAGTTGCAGTCAAAACACAGTCAAAACTTTATTTCATGCACAAAATCATTAAAAGTATTTTATAAAATTACCTTCTGGCTCTGTGTATGAGGCATAAATGAATTTAATGTTTAGGCTTGAGTCCCATCCCCAATATATCCCATTATGTATATGTAAATGTTTCAAACTCTGAAAAAATAAAAAATCTGAACCACTTCTGGTCACAAGCAATTTGGATAAGAGATAACCATAGTTTAACATAGCAATTAAGTATATAGGTTCCCCGGGCAGACAGCTGTCTGACCTTAGGCAAATTACTGAATCTCTCTGTGACTCAGTTTTCTTATCCACCAAAAGGAGAAAACAACAGTACCTGCACCTAGTAGGGTTGTCATGTGTATTACATAGGCAAACACTTGGTTATTCCACACGCAATAAGTGTTCCTACTATGATAATTGTTATTATCCTGGCCCACCTTTTTCTTTTCTTTTTGGCTAATGTAGACAGAAATAAGGCCTTAGCTCCAGGCATTAGGCATGAAGAGGGTGAGTTGTTGGGTTGAAATGATCTAGAACAACACATTTTCAACGTTAGAATACAAAGCTGCTGCTGATCATCTCTTACTAGAGGGCACACAAAGCAGAAGGGCCTACTCTCTCACTAGGTGTCTCTCCAAAGAGAGTTCAGAAGAGGATTAAAGGGGGAAGGAAAAAAAAAACACACCTCTACAACCTTAAGAACTAAAGGGCAAATTTTAAGGACAATACGGATGCTGGAAAATTCACTGGTGCTTTCAGCAAGTAACAAATGTGTTAATGAGCTTTTCTAAACTCTTTTTTAAAAAAAACACTTTGTTCTTGGCTACCCCAATACACTACTAGAAATGTTGGCCATTCTACAGGTTCTGAGATGGGAACAAAACATGGTGACAACAGAGATTTCGTTGTCTTGTTTACTCCAGATTACTTGAAAAAGGAAGCAGAAGAGTAACCTACGGTTTATCCCTGATTCACTTAATAACAACTAAGTCTAAGCCAGAAAGTAAATGATGTAATAAAGTGACTGATTCAAAATGCTGGAATGCAACGGTAAGAAAACTAAAGCCCTATCAATCTAAATCTATTGTGAACAACAGTCGTAACCAACTAAAAAGGCCCTGATGTCAACCTTGTTTAAATGCTGCTTCAGAATATTTAAAACAAAACCCAAACACCCACCCAGGCTGTATTTGCAATGAGATCATGTTCCCCACGTCCAGCACTGCAATGGAAGCCACACTCTAGGACCAGCACCTCAATTACTGCAGCAAAACTAATTAATTCTGGCTATTACTCAACAGGTCTCTAGGAGGCAAACACATCCTTGCCCTTCAAGAACCAGATCGAAGATTGCCTACTCTGTGAAAACTTCTCTGATAAGCCCAGGCTGACCCAGTTATGTGTATTTTCAGAATTCTCACTGCTGTTTATTTAGTGAAATGTTTACCCCAGAGAATTGCATGTTATGTTTCTGGATTTCAACAAAACAGTTCATAATAGACTGAAATGTGTAGAGAGGAAGCAAATGTCTTTTTTTGTTTTGGACACTTGCTAGGTAAAGCAATGAATTAATGAATTAATGAATATCACAGGCTTGGGTTTCAGTAAATTCACACAGTTGATATGTGTACTTTGTGTTAAAATTGTTGAAACTCATACTAAAGGCGGGCGGTAAAAGAACATTAATTTAACTGCTTTCTAAATAACTGGAGGCAAACAGTAGTAACAAGAAGGGGGCACCAATTTCTGAATAATGGAATGTTTAAAACATACTATAAGAAGAAGAAAGTATACGTTACTGCATCAACATCATAGCAAAATAGATATTGGGCAGAAACACACTGCATATTGCCCATTTTTCTCTCTGAATAAATCAAAGGGATCTAATCTAATCACAGAAAAGGAGATATAAATGATAACTGACAAAACCCTGCCTGAAAGGAATCTTTCATATCAGGCAAAACACTGTATTGGGATTCAGACGGTTATGTAAATAGAAAATAAAGTGAAATCACAGCCTATCCTGCAAGTCCCTCACAGGGAGCAATCATTATCTCCACTACCTACATAACCACCAACTTAACTTCTCTAAAAGCCTTGTCCCAACAGGGAAATCTAACTTCTTCTGGTCAATCATGTCCCCTGATCCACCACCAAAATATAAGCTTCATGAAACCAGAGACAATATTTTGCTTATAATAATATCCCTAGCACTTAAAATAGTGCCTTGCTTACAGGAGAGGTTGAAGAAGCATTTACTGAATTCAATACATGAATGGGTGAGAGAAAGGGAGAAAAGAGAAGAAAGGAAAGAGGAATCAGATGAGAAAGCAAGGGACTAACACGGAACTGAGAAAGAATTTGTCTTCTCTGGAAAAGTCTGTACAAGCTGCAGAGTGCTGTGGCAAATTAAAGCCAATGTTTCCTAGGATTTTGGTGTTTATGAAGAAAAAAACAAAACAAAGTGTTTCTCTTTACTGACCCAGAGCAAATATTAACTTTTAAAGTAAAAACTGTAAAAACTTCAGTATATGTATATTCACTCATTCAATAAATGTTTATATGCCCACTATGTTCCACGCACCAACGCTACACACAGGTAAATGCAGCAGATAATGTAGCTAGGCATATAAAAAGATTTGGACACCTTCACCATCAACAACATCACTGAGCATCCCACTCTGCTTTCTGATAAAAACTAGTAGTTACTAGCAAGTCATCCCTGCATTCAGACATGAAATTCAATTCCTACTGGTATTATTCAAATAAAAGAATTTTTAAAAGATGACAAAAGCATAAAAGAAATGGAAAAAAAGATACAATAAAGAAAGGTAAGAACAACTGGAGTTGTCTGGCCTGGAAAGCAAGGCTGATTTCATTAGAGGCTTCAAATACACAAAGGGCTTTTATGAGATAATCCTGAGCATTTCCACAGTTCTCCTTTCTTTCTGAGTGAGGACTATGTTTAGGCATTTCCTTCTACTGACTTCAGAGATGCCTTCCTCAAGTCAGGAGTGAATGCCAATATTTTGCTTGCTGATATGTAAGCAAGGGCTTAGCATTTCTAAAACACACAAATACTAGTTTCCTCCTTCTTAGGCTTTAGCAGGCTGTCTGTAGGCATTTCTTTCCCACCCTATAATTTCTTCTCTGCCTTTGTTAAAACTGTAAGCACATCTGCAAAAGACTAAACATGACACAGTAAATGACTATCACTTCCTTCTCCCCCATATTTGGCATCCTGACTGCAGAAACCAGATCACTTCACTAGAATATTACATAGGGTTGCAACGGTGCAGGTGGCCACTTTAGTGCCTATAATTACCAGTCACACATGCACAATGCCAGTGTTGCTTGTCTTTGCCCCGTGACCTCCGGGGAGAAAGCAGTCGATGGCAGGGGGTTAAATCATTTGCAAAACTATCATCCCTGTTTGCAAGGCAGGGTTAAATCATGAAGGTGCCTGGCATTCAGGGATAACATTAACAAACTATAAAATCATTCAGGTTTGTAGTTCAGCATCTTTTCAGTCCCTGGCCTTCACTACCTCTTTTCAAAATATATTAATTATTCCTCCAACTCCTACCACAAGGTACCCAATCCCTTGACCCCACATGCCCAAAGTGTCCATCCAAGTCAAAGACATTCTCAAGACCTATTCTGCCCTGTGAATTCATCTCTCAAAAATAAAAATTAAATGAGTAATAATAACCAATAGAGACTGATAGACAAGGAACAGGGGCACAATATACCGTAATTAGCAAGGGTTTCCCATGGCTCTTATCATAATGTTGCTCTCTGTGGCACCTCAAGTATCCCCAGGAAAAACAACAAGAAAAGGGAAGCAGGGTAGAGTGAGGATTCTTCTAATTATTAAGCTCAGCAACACAATTCTTATGGCAAAGGAAACAATTTATTGGTGAGATCTTTCTCAGACATAAGCCTCCCCACTCTTATTCCAATCTGCATGCTTAATAAAGATGATTAGTTTTTGATGGAGATGATTGTTATTTTAATTAAAGACTATGCTGGAAGAGAGAGTTTGATTATAAAGTAACCCCAAGATAACAAGGTGCTTTTTGCCATCTCAGTCTCAGGCACTTGCCTTGCATACCATTTCCATGACAGTTTCCCTAATCTATAGAATTAGAAGAAAGACTGGATTTATAAAATGAAGCTGGAAAATTCTTGTTCTCAATAAGACTATTGGCTCAAAATGGCCAGCTCCAAACCTCACTCACCTCTGCCTGTCCTCCCCAAACCACTTGATGGGTGATCTCGTCAAGTCACTTAACCTTCTTATATCTCTAATCCCTCAGCTGAACAATTAATTGTGCTCCCTCATCTCATGGGAATGTTGAAAGAGATCACTATTAATAGACTAGTCCTTGCAAAGTTATTTGCTAATGCAAAACCACTACATGAGGCTATGTCCTGAGGGCCACAGTGTGGTGTAATATGAACAGAAAGGACTTGCAGTTGGATGTAATCAGGCTTAAACCCCAACCCTGCAACTTACAAGCTGTCCAGGGATCTCAGACTACTTTTGTTCTAAACCTAAGTTTCTTTATTTGAAAAATGGTGAGAAATAACACCTTCCCCTTGTTGCTATTGTGAGAATGAGAAGAGCTAATGTCTGTAGAGTACTTAAAGTTCCTGGCACAAAGCAGGCACTCAAATGTCATTTTCCTTTGCATGTACAATATCTATTGCAACTTCTCCTGGGCACCTGCACTGGAGATGACCTAAATAGGCTCCACACAATCCCCATCTGAAATACTGCAGCAGTCTTCTATGTTCCTATTTCCACTTTCCTCACCACCCACCCTTCATCTTTGCACATGCCATGAGCAAATGAAACCCCTGAAAATGCATCTTTCATACCATCCTCGTTACTTAACATCCTCCAACAAATCCCTATTCCAACAGAGTTAAAGTCAAAAGCCACATATACAAATCCCTATATCCTACACAGTAAAAGTCTAAAGACAGAAAAGGCCTTTCACTGTCAGCTGTAGCTGAAACTTTACTTCCTACCTCCCAAACCGTCCTTTGCACCTTCTCCCACTACACTCCATGCTCATCATAACCACCCTGGAGCCTCTGTGTGTACCATATATTGTCCCCACACCTTCTCAACAGATGAGCACCTCTTCCCACACAGTGTTGAGGTGTGGATTCGCTGAGGCATGAAGAGAGGTGCTTGGCAGCCTGACCTTCTGCAACTTCCTCTTCCAGCTGAGTCACCTGTTAAGACACCAGAGGAGGAAAAGGGGAGCAAGCGTAGTACTCTGCACAAAACAGCACAGTAGGCAGCAAGAAGCAAGGCAGATCCAAGCTCTGCCTCCACAAAGGTCATTTCAAGGGGATGTCACAGTTGAGGCAAAGGAAAGCAGGCCACTATTAAGACTACACGTGAACAGCAGAAAACCAGCCCATGGCACACAAAGACCTATAATTCAGCAATACTCAGCACCAGCTTAATCACAAGCCCCCATGTGTGACCTGCCGGTCTAAGAACGTGAGCCTCAGGGAGATTGCCAGCTCTCCCAGAAATCTTGGAAGTCCAGCTATCTTACATTCTTAATATAAGCTCCTCCAGTTCCAGAGTAGATACAAATCTTCCTTGAGTTGAAAGTTATTTCTTGAGCCTTTAACATTTGACAAAATATCAGAACTCACTCTTGGATAAGTACTGTTGTCAACTCAAGATAATGAAAATACCACACCACATAGTTGTGGAGTTCCCTGACACTAACAAAGGTTGTTCACAAACATTACCCATATTGTACCCTCACACATCCTCCTTTCATGGACAGGGAACTTTAGGAAGACTAAGGAACTTCCCCATAGCCAAAGGAGCAGAGCCTGGTTCTCCAAGATCTACCAGTTATCATATTCTCTGAACTGCACAGGCTTGTGAGCCACTGAGAAACAGAATTACCACTAAGCCTCACCAGAAATGGAGGGCTTCCTGACTCATTTTTCTCATGCCTTTCTATAAGCACAAAAGAAAAAACAAAACAAAACAAAACAGGTCAAAAGGAACAATTTCCAACCCACTGTCACAAGGTAGGGAAATTTCCACGTTACATGTATCCACTTGCACAACAGACAAATGTATGACAGACCAGCCAAGTAAACTCCACAAAAAAGTAAAAGGAGATGCCCCTTTAAGCACCTCTTGTGTGCCAGGCACTACACTTCACATTCTCACATACGTGATCACATTTACATTTTCCAACTATGAGGTAGCTACTACCATCCCCATTTTGTAATTATAAAAACTGAGGGTGCAGAGGTTAAGTGACTTGCCCAAGGCCATTCAGTAAAGCCAGTATCTAAACCCTAGATGTTTCTAAACTCTATACTTTATTCTAGACAGTAGACAGTTGTTGGTCAGGAAACATGAATTCCTTTGAGAAAGGTATGCTGGAGACATAAAATTACAAGTTAATATTACCTAAAACATACACAGCTGCAGTTCCAGCCCCTCAGCTCACTACAGTTCCAAAATATCCAGTTTCATTTCCAATTTCCCCTCTGAGCCTCTATCACTGACTCCTTAGAAATTTCTATTAGTCTCTTATCTCCCTCACCATTGAAAAAAATTTCCTTCCTCCTAAAAGTCATATTTTTCCAAAAGTGACCTGAAAGACAACTAGAGAGCAAGAGAACTCTTATTAAATCGACAATTTTCCATCCTCTCAAAGATTAATTCACCCACGAGTGTCACAATTTCAAAAACCATTCATTTTTTAACCCAACAATTATCCTTATCAAAATAAGTCTCACACAAGATTCTGACCTTAAATACTGAGTGCAAGCGGCATTGATTAAACGCCTTAAACTTATCCTTTTATTGGCAAATACATTCAGGGGCAGTTATTCACGGCATCTGGTTCAGAAATTAGATACAGAGTTAACTGTAGATTGATTAGTGCTTAGTATAAAGAAGAAAAAGACTAATTCCTATATTATTCCTGGCTCAGCAAG